CCAGCACCAGCACAGCACGCACATATGCTACCGGCATGGCATGCAACGGGGAGGAAAGCTTGCATGCAGTCAAGGCACTCGACCAAGCTTGCAGGATGTGTGCCTACCGTCCATGTCGTGTGTGCTCACCTGGAGCACACCCGCAACACCAGTGCGGAGAACTTAAAACGTCCTGCTGCTTTCGGTAGCCACCTCTCGCGCAACCCCGGGCTCATCACTCGAAGCATCCCTTTCACCCCATCCCAGAATCCTCCCTTCCGAACCCTCACCCCAAGTCCTCGCAGCCGTCCTTTGACCACCCATCCTCCTGTATTTGACTGTGCACTTTCTTTGCCAACGTTTGCGCTCCAAGCATCCGACATCGCGCCGACAAATACCTGGAAGCTGCCTTTGAATCTCTAGATCAACATGCGTGCTGCTTCTATTCTCGGCGGCCTGGCTCTGGCCTTTGCCGTAACGTCCGCGCCGGCAACTGCCGACAGCATGATCAAGCGATCAGGGACCGAGCGCCACGCACTGGTGAAGCGCGCCCACCAGCTGGCCCGCGACGAAGTCCTCTCGACTTTGCCATCATTTGTCCGGGAAGACTTGGCTAAGCGTGATCCCAACGACTATCAGGTGCACTATGAGCATCTTTTGGACAGGTACATGAGCGACGAAGCTCCTCTGAACGAGCTCGAGCGTCGCGCTGAGAAATTCGACGCCGGAGGCCCCGCTCACGATGGCGCTGCCACTTGGGTCAACGGACATGGTCCTGGTATCGGACAGTGCGGAGGCAAGAGAGTCGCCATCAGTACGTATCGCGGGCATCAGTAGTGCTGGCAAGGAGGCAGTTATTCAGCGCTTAGCTCATCGTCGTCCTGCACTCCACGCTCCGCCTTGCAGCTTTTGACGATGGACCTTACGAAAACCATCTGAAGCTCGCCCAGAAGTTCAAGGATGCGAATCAATTCCTGACCTTCTTTGTCAACGGTGAGATTGTGCTCCTATCGAGGCTTGTCCGAACCTGGCTTCTCTGATGCCATCCAATATCCTGCTTGCGATCTTTGTGGCGCACCAGGCAACAACTTCGGTTGCATCTACGACAAGCCCTACCCTCGGCAAATGCGCAAGGCTTGGGACTTGGGCGTCGCTACCTACGGCTCTCACACTTGGTCGCATGCCAACTTGACCTCTGCGACGAGCGATGATCAGATCCTCAAACAGTTGCACCTCGTCGAGGAGGCCCTTTATCGCATCTTGGGTGGGTTTACCAGAGATGTACATCGATAGATGGAGTGCTAGTACTCTTGCTGATACGAAACTCCTGGGTGTATCTTCATCGACGACAGGTGTGGTGCCTCGTTACTTGGTGCGTG